ATGATTACAGTTTTTTAAAATTCCATACTTTCTGTGGGCTCACAAGAAAGAATGATTTAATAACTAAGCCTCAGTTTTGGAAACGATTTGATGGTTGTTGAGATCAACCCTCTCACTGTTGGCAATGTCTGAATTTTTCTAATATCCTTATAAACACCACATTTGGAACTCTTCCGTGAGTAGTCTTTTCATAATCTGGCAGCTCTCCTAATTCAGATGCTCTTCCTTCTAAACAGCCACATCTAGCTGCCTTCTTGGCTCTTTCCTTGAAATATTTTCCAGATACATGCTGTCTTCTACCTTAAGCACCCTCTGAATTAATGCTCACGGCATCTCCATTTCCAAATTTTGGGGAACTGCTATTCATCATTCAAATATTTGGTCAATGTGAGCTCATTGGGTGAATTTTTCCTACATAAAACCCCACACATGGAGACCCCTAAATTATGCTGTTTCTCCTTTTTAAAAATAACTGTAATTAAATCATGAGTTTTATAATTTGTGCCTTCCATACCATTTTGCCAGCTCTATTGGAACTTGTCTTTTCCCTGCTGTGTTCCTGTATTTAGTATGGTGCTTGATAAATATGGAGCTGGAGACTTCAAAAAGTTTAAGACTCATGACTTTACAGCCAAACCCTTGGAAATAAAACAACAACAAAAAAAAAAAACATGCCCCAGAGAACACCAGTAGAGAAGACAATGAGGGTCCAAGCTCATAGTTAACTATGAGCTTTTAACTCTTAGTTAAAAGGCAGACGGGAGAAAAAGTTACTTATTAAGGTCCACACAAAAGAAGGCCAATAGCACCTTTTTTTTTTTACCCCCAATTACTGTGGATTGAACCCAGGGTATTCTAGGCAAGCACTCTATCACTATACCCTTGCTCTTTCAAAGTTTTATACTTCTGTTTTAAAAATCTAATAAATTCCCAACTGCCTGGACATATTCATAGTGGGTACCTTTTACTAAGTATTTAATAATTGTTTTAATCTACTTCACATTTACTACTATATACCTAAAGAAAAGATGTATAACATATTCTATATTATTAAATGTTGTTTTTCTTGGACCTTTTTAAAAGAGGACTTGTATTGATCTTGATTCTTTTGGGCAGAAGCTCTCTTTTGGAGAGTAGGGCAGCCATAGAGAATCCCTTGAATTATAGAGCCACATGAGACATCAAGACAGCAAATGCTCACACAGATTTATAAACTAAATTTCAGTAAGTCTTGATTAATGTCACATGGACATGGAATATACTGTAAGCTTGACAACATATGAATACAACATTATACTATGGTTTGAAAACTATTTTCTACACATTCCTTAAACTTTTTGACAAAATAGTGAAAAAAAAAAAAAAGAATACATATTAGAGACAACCTGAAATCTGAATACTAGAAAACATTTTGAGAGCCCAGATTAAGCTTTTAAATTTGAAGACAAGGAAATCTAAATTCCAGAGACTCCATTTTTCTTCCAGAGACTATATATACGTAACAAACTCTTGGAACCAATCAGCAAGTCTACCTGAAGGGAAAAGGCAGGGAAGGTTACTCTGAGATGTAGTTCCTTTCCCCAGATGCAAAACCCGTGGATTCAAAGCACAAGTTACTGATAGCATTTTAAAATATCATCTTCTAATCACTATTGCAACCAATATAAATTCCTATAATTCCCTCTGTTTAGTCCCAACCGTATGGTATTTTCCAAGTCACTTGTATCATTAACAAGCAAACTAAAAGCACATAATCACCCAAGAGAGTAAATTTCCCATAAAACAAAATTTGCTCACTCTGGCATTTTCATTGGCATTTGCAAAAGCATTTTAAAAAGACTCAAAATGCATATATTTCATTTAAACATTTATTTTTAAACCAAGGAAGTGTTTTTATTCAATCTGTGGGTATAAACACCCTAAGAATATATATAGGCAGTAAGTTGGCAATGAACTGATATAAGAATCATAGTATATAATTTCTTGGGCATGGAATAATAAAAAAATTCAAATGGAGCATTCTTTCAGTGAATTTTGTATCCCAGATCCAGTTCTAGAATGGAGGCTATTCCTAACTGAGCTCAATAAATATTTATTGCACATTACTGTGAGTATGGCAATATGCTAGATATTGATGATACAAAAATGGAAAACAGGTACTCCCTAGTCTCAATTTAGAATCTTCTAAAGGAGGTAAATGTGTAACTTCAATATAAATACTTACTGTTATGCAACTGTTCCAAAGTGGAAGCCACCATTATCTCTTACCTAAAACAGAAAATAGCTCTCTAAAGAGTTTTCCTTCCTTTATTCTTTCTATAACCCTCTCTTCTCCTTGTGATCTTTTCTATTACTCTTAATATAAAATTCCTTAGTTTGGTCCACATGTATGGGCTTTACCTCTGCTCTCTCTACAGCCTTATCTACTCTCACCTTCCCCTATGATTCAATATGTTCTAGTCACACGAAACTTCTTTCTCTGCTGTGAACATAGGTTGTTCTTGTTTGAACAGTGAACTTTCTATTTTTCTAAGTCTGGCTCTTGAAGTAGATGCCTGAAGTTCTGAGATCTCAAATACTACACACTCATAGCCATTTGCCTTGACATCTTGTCTCAAGAAGTACTCCATTTTCTACCTGTCACATTCTAAAGATGCCATTGTCCTGTTTGGTTACTGTATAGCACTACTTACTACTTACTTTCTGAAAATAGAGGCTTGCACCTAATAGACACATCTTACACATATCAAAATAAAGACCTTTCCCTAAGAATTTTAAGTGAAGTCATCACACAAGAATTTGATATTCTAAAACTGCACACAAGAACCTACTGATTGAAATGTCTGCTATTTGCCTGCCTCTCTACCGGTATTGTGAAAACAAACAGATTTTATGTTATAGAATAAAAAGCAATGAAACGGGATCCAAAATTTATTCACCTACAACTAATTTGTTTAAGTCATCTTCATTTCCCTAGATTTTAGTCTACTTGTGTGTACATAGAGGAATTAATTTTTAAAAACTGTTATAATTCTGAAATTTAATTATTTGAAATGAATTTTCTAAAATGAGAATAATTCTTTAAAATGTACATTTTTTTTTATAACCCAAGCATAGTAAGCAAGGGCTATTAAGCACTCAGTTATGAGCTTACTGTCCAATTGTAGATTCTTTACTGTAACCAATCCTCCCTTTGAAACCATGTTTCTCTACATATCTGATTACAAAGTAGAAAAAAATGCTGAAAGTTGTAAACTTTCATAAAATTCATAAAATTGCATTCCATACATTTATACTGAATTATACATTCTTATCTGAGAAAATATACTAGTAATGTGTATATGCATCCAAATTTAAAACATTGTGAGGCACTAAGAACAATTTTCATATCTGCATTTAAAGACATGTTATCACTATCTTATAAATAATACGTTGAAAAGAGTTTTACACTTCCTGACAAAATAAATTTTAAAAAAGTTCTCATGAGAAAAATATTACCTACCATCAAACTACAAAAAGAAATTTCAAGAACACAATATAGTATAAAAATTAGAGGAAGTAGGTAAGGATGGACAAGCCAACTATTAAAATTGATAATTTTAAAATTGATAACAATTGCAATTCAAATGCATCAATGATGAAGTTTCAAGAAATTTACTGTGAAATTACCTACATATTACATAACAATGTTTTCATAGAAAGCTTAGAGGATGCAGTAAGTGGAATTAATTTGAAGCCAAGGAAATATAGGCAAAAAGATGGGGGGGTGGGTAATCCTATTTTCTAAAATGTAACAGCAAGAGGTCTTTTAGCACTGACAGAAAATAATCATGGAGCTACCACAAACAGTAACCATGAGAAAATCCTAATTTAAAATATTTCATACGCAAAAACCTGTGAAAATAAAAATAAATTCTGTAGCAAACTTAAATTACTTGACTGTTATCTTAACACAGCAATAAAATTGTATTGTGAAACAAAATCAGGAGTGTTTATATAATTCATTACATGGAATTACATCCTACATTATGTTAGGAAGATAAAGCATCACAACCCTAACTTTATAGATGTATACACACAATAATCTAAGTTTAAAAATGCTCTTGTGGTTGGTTAAGTGTTTCCTCCATTTTATTATTTCCATTCTTCTGCACATGCAGCCTGCCACTGATTTATTTTTACTAGCTGGAAACTGGGAGAAGGAATTAAATATTATACAAGCATATTAGTTTTATTTCCTTAAGATTTGATTTCCGTCCACTTTTAAGTTTACTGCTTGATAATAACTAAGACATCAAAGCCAATAGCGATAAAAGAAAAACTTTTTTTTTTTTTTCCAAGAGATCAGCAAAAGTAAATGTTTTTTTGGCTCCTTGAAAGCCATTCCAAATCTGGTAGAAATAAGCACATCTTACCCAATACCAAACCAGCTATATACTGTGCCTCACTAAACATATGACTCACTACTAATGATAGAGTGGAGTGCGACAGAGTTGTTGTGTAAGCTCATTCTGGACTGATGAAGGCCAAGCCTAGATGGAATGAGACAGCTATCCTTTATACCATTATAGTTTTATCCTTGGCCTCACTCAGAGGCATTCAGATCTTCCAGAAAGCAAGACTTTTTGGACAAAATGTAAACTTCCAAAATTTCAAAATGGCATGCTCAATGACTAAGACAATATCATTCAGAGTGAAAAGGAAGCTAATATTTTTATGATAAACTACGCATCAGGCAAGGAGCTAGATGCTTTCCTTATGAGATCTCGTGTAAACTCCACACTGAACTTGAAACAAACAACTGTGAAATTGCCTTCCCCATTGAAATTCTATGAAAATTACTGCAGGGAAATACAATGGATAAGGAGGCTTTAATGTGACTACTTTGTGAAGATGGGAATGTAGCCCGAGGCTATATCTGCACCCAAAAATGTCAGTAAATCTTATACCCACATTAAGAGCAAATGTGGGGAACTTGGAAAAAATGATCAGCCACTCACCATAATGCATGTAACAGTTTCCTTTGGTGGGATCCAGCTCAATAGCCTTCAAGAAGAACTTTTCAGCCTCACTCTTCCGACCCTTGAAAAACAGAGAACATGGATGATTCAGAAATGAATCATGAGGGATTCTTCACCTTCAGGGCACAAATGAGCAGACTCATGTCCACTGGTGACCATCATTGCAAAAGAAGAGTTTTATTTTTATCTAAATGAAGATGTTGAAAGAGAATATGTGAGAATAAAGATGGAGGTCTGAATCCTGGGAAACATTAAGATCTGTGAGTGCCAGAAAGAGAAGAAAAGGAAGAGACCAGAGAAGTAAAAGTTAAAAAAAAAAAAAAAGGATTCACAGGAATCAAAAGAATAAGGAAACATCATTTATTTTCATATGATTCCTTCTTTTTTTTTTTTCTTGTAACAGGAGTTTGTCCTCATTACATACTTCTAATCACATCCTTATCAAATGAGGAAATAAGATCACAATTCATTGGATCTGAAACAGCTACTCCTTATTGCTATTGAAAATTATACTGATCCAGAATTTAATCTCCTGTGAAGTCTCTTGCCTCACTACAGTTTTAATTGGGAACATCGTCAACAAATTTAAAAATAAGGGGAAGGTTCACCTGCAATACATTTGAATTTTTTTCATCAAACAGTGTAATACAGGCAGATTGTAAAACTATACATTCTTTATTTGGTTATGGATTCGGAGCCACAATGACATCCAGAATAACATAAAGAGGTGGCTTGAAGTGGGAGAACAGTCTAAGCAGAACTTCCTGGAGAGCTCTCATCTGCCATGGTTGAAGATCTATGCTGAATACAAGTGGCAGCAGGACACTGAGGTTGATGTCCAAAAGCCACTGTGGTAAAGAGAAATGATCTCACCTGCTTATTCCTTCTATTTACACACTATCCATCATATGAATTTCAGGCATTTTCTTTCTTTCTTCACAAATATTTTAAAAATTACTGTTACAGTGATGAATTTTCCAAAGTTAAAGATGTGTGTGATAAGTATGCAACATTCTACAACACTCATTCATTTCTCCATATCTTCACTTTTTGTTCATTCATTAAAAAAAAAAAAAAAATCACTCTGTTACTGCCTCCTTCATTCACTCATTGTTCTAACAGCTAGAGACCAGCCTACCACATCTACCACCTATAAACAGTGATAAACAAACAATGAGCTAATGGACTTCTGCATTTCTTCTTTCTTTTAAATAATGTTATTCCATTGAAAAACTTCCCTCTAATTCATAATTCTTATCAACTATTCAACAATTAAAACTAAAAAAAAATACATTCAATGTTTCCCACATTTTAATGTCAAAGGTAAAAAGACAAAACGTTTCCCTTATGTATACTTTAATAAAGTTGGCAAGACTTAGCAATAATCTTACCAAGGAAGGATTCTCCAAATGAGTCAATAAATTTAAAGAATCAGGAAGGCTATGTATGAGTTATGAGCAGAGATGCTAGACAAGTGGAGCAGCTTACATACTTGTTTTAACTATGTGACTTTTAGAGAATTTATTAAATCTCTTAGCTGTAATTTCCTCTATACAAAAAAGGAGGATAGGTGTAGTACAGGGGACTATTAGGGTAGTGAAAGCACTTTGTATGAAACTATTATAGTGGATACATTTCATATATGTGTCTAAACCCATAGAATAAAGAGTAAGCCAAAATACAAACTATGGAATTTAATTGCCTTATCAGTTGACAACAAATATAGAACACTAACTCAAGTTGATTATAATAGGGTTTGAAACTGTGTGTATGGTGGTGGGAAGGTAGGGAGGAATATGGAAACTCTGTACTTTCTGCTTAATTTTTTTTTTAAACCTACAACTGCTCTAGAAAGTAAAATCGATAATTTTTTTTAAAAAAGATAAAAGCTATTTCAAAAGATTATTGAATTATCTGAGCCAACACATACAAAGTAGCTATTATTGTACTTAGGTATAAGTTTGTAGCAAATGTTAACTATTATTTGATACACACAGGTAATATGCAACAGAATGAAGAGCTATGAATGACAAATAGTAAGTTTTGTTAATATACACAGGCTAAGAAAACATGGTCATTCTTTAAATCATCTCCAGAAAATAATATACAAAGAACTTGCAGAAGAGGATAAAAAAATAAAGATGAAAAATATAAGCTATTGTTTGGTAAAAAAAATATATATATATATAAAGATTTTATATACAAATAAAAAGGGGCTTTGAACTTTCTTCCTCTTAAATTTTTAAGGATGGAAAAGAAGGAACTGGTTCATTTATCAATGCCACAATAAATTGGGTAGTAAAACCCTTGTTCATTGACAAAACAATAGTATGAAGCCTTAAAAACATGCATCAGTACTCAAAGACAGTGGTCTCTGTCTGATCACTGGACTGTTATTAAAAGAAATGAGTACTATAATCTCCTAGATAGAAATTGGACATGTAGAACATTATTTTGGGGGGTGGGTGGAGGACATATGACCACTATTTGTTTAGTGAAGACTAACTGCCAAATAATAAGGATGAAAAGACAACTCTCCCAAGAATATATAAAATAATAAACCAACTGACCACATAAGTCAATCAGGTAAACAAATCACTAGTTTCTATGAAGGGGTCAGGATTGTTGGGAGATAATATTATCTTTAATTAAATTTAATGTTTCAACTATCACTATTATAGGGAAACAGTAATTAAGAAAATGGTGAAGAAAAAATTGTTCAGCAGATTTTTCATGGTGTCTTTGATATTATATCAGCATTTCCTATACGCAAGTATTATGGAAGAGCCACAGGCTGAACAAACCCCTTACAACAAGCACAACATATACAACATACAAAATTGTGTGTATTGATAGGTGTCTAGACACGGGTAGTGGTTCAGAAACCAAGAAAAAGGATGCCACTAATTATTTAAAACCATACACAAGACAATATTGTTGACACTCATGAAAAACAACAATGAAACCTCCACCCTACCATATTTTTACCACATGCACAGATAGAGCTCTAATCTCCAAGATATCTAAAGAACTCAAAAAACAAACAAACAAACAAACAACCCAATCAAAAAATGGGCTAAGGAACTGAACAGACAGTTCACAGAAGATATATAATCGATCAACAAATATTATGAAGAAATGTTCAACATCACTAGTAATTAAAGAAAAGCAAATCAAAACTACTCTAAGATTTCATTTCTCTCCAGTGAGAATGGCAGTTTTTGAGAATACAAGCAACAACAAGTGTTGTTGAGGATGTGGGGAAAAGACACACTCATACATTGCTAATGGGACTGTAAATTTGTGTAATCAATCTGGAATGTAGTATGGAGATTCCATAAAATACTTGGAATGAAACCACCATTTGACCCAGCTAGCCTACTCCTCTGTCTATACCTGAAGTACTTAAAAACATTATTCTATGGAGATGCAGCACGTTGATGTTTATAGCAGCACAATTCACAACAGCCAAACTCTGGAACCAACATAGACGCCCTTTACTAGATGAACAGACAAAGAAACTGTGATATATATATATAGATATAGATATAGATATAGATATATCTATCTCTCTCTCTATATATATGTATATATGTATATATACACACATATACATACATACACACACACACAATGGAATATTACTCAGAATAAAAGATAATAAAATTATGGTATGTATTTACAGATAAATGGTAGGAGTCAGAGAATACCATGCTAAGTGAAGTAAGCTAATCCTCAAAAAACCAAAGGCTAAATGTTTTCTCTGATAAGTTCATGCTAATCCATAATAAAGGGGGGCATGGGATGAGTGGAGGAACTTTGATTCGGTAAAGGGGAGGGAGGGCTGAGGAGGGGGAATGGGGATAGGAAAGATGGTAGAATGAGATGGACATCATTATCCTAGGTATGTGTATGATTTCACAAATGGTGTGACCCTTCTTCATGTACAACCAGAGAAGTGAAAAATTGTGCTCCATTTGTATACCACGAATCAAAGAACATTCTGCTGCTATTCCACAATGTGGGATCAGTATTCAGCTAATTTACTTTGTTTTCCTATTAAACTATGCTACTACTACCACAACTCAGAAACAGGAGCCTAGTGAGTGGATACAAAAAGCAAACAGTATCCCACCCAATGGCGATCAACACTATTTCCAACTACAAAACACAGAAATATAAAAACAGCCACATACAGGTTTTTACATACTCACACACACACACAAACTCCACCAATCATTCCTGTAAACCTCCCTTAAGAAAGCACACAGGAATAAGCAAGTGAGAATTATACTGTTATGGCTTTAGTAAACTATATTCATACTTTTGTATTTATTTTTAGTGACAAATTATTCAGAACAAAATCCACCACCTTCTATAATGTGTCATAATATAACTGTTCAGAACTGCTATTCTACTGAATGACACCTGAAAGACTTACCAGGACCTTTAATTATTGCATCACTTTATTACTTTATGTGGATACATATTATATGTGCACATCTATTTAAATATATAAATGGTGATATTGTGGTTTATGTTACAATATTTTATAATATGTTACAAGTAATATATTTCTGATTACATATATTACAAATATATAATATATAAATCACACACCCACATACACCCCTTTATGAACATTTCCTGGCACAGAACTCTTAAAACCTTTTAATTTTCTGAGTAATGGAGGGGCTCAAAGAACCTTTCCTTCTAACATTTTCTCTTTTAAGCCTGATACCTAACACAGAGGTACTAATCCCTAGGAATTTCCTCAGTGACAGGAACATCTTTTGTTGTAATGAGACCACTCTTTGTGGGTTCCTGGATAGGAGTAGATCACCAGAAACACCAACACATGATTGGAAGCTTGGAACCTTTGGCCACTCACCCTAAACCCCCACCTGATTCTCCAGGAAGGAGAAATGGGCTGGAAGTTAAATGATTATGCCTATATAATAAGTCTTAATAAAAATTCCTGCACTATGGGATTCAAGGTGCTTCTGGATTGGTGAATAAGAATACATATATGTGACAGGAGGGAGGTTCAACTGTACAACT